GAAGGATGCATTTCAGCAGGTCCCCCAATACATGGGCCCCACAAACAAAGGAACTTACTCCGGATCCCCCGGCACCACTTTGACACAATTGAAAAGTTCAAGGTCAGCCCGGCTACTGCCATGGCATCCGACGTAAAGGAAGAGATGTCGACACCAGCCTTTTGGGTGGTCGCCAGCGATTGGAGAAGGAAGGGTTTTGGGTTGAGGGTGTAGGGTTCCCGGATTTAAAGGCCATGGATTTCAGACCTCAGATTTAGGGTTTGGGATTTCGGGGCATGGGTGAAGAGTTTTAGGTAGGGATGTGTGGAAGCAAAGGTGGGGGAAGGAAAGGGCTGAGGTATCTCCAGGTCAGTCTCAGGCATTCAGATCCCTGGCCCCGTACAAAACTCCTGAAACGCTGCGCAGCTGCTCTACTCGAGCGCTAGAAAGCTGCAAGGCAAGAGAAGTCATAGGAGAGGTAAGCACCTCTATACACGTTGAGGCCGGACATGAAGGAATGCCCTTGGTTTTACATACTGTCGTCTTTATCACAATTTGGGGGTACCCTGGCTCAACGGATGATCGGGAACTGTAGACATCTGAAGAAATCCCCACTCAGCCACAGGTTATCCTGGATTCCCTGGATTGGCGAGTATCCATGATGACTTGTGGCTGCACCGGAGTTTCTCAGGATAACCATGCGGTCTAAAACAGGAATATTCTGGTAGTTATTCGGGCTCTGCATTTTGTGGGTTCCCTTGCCACCCATCTGCGCTTCGTCTCCAAACTTACCCCTTAACAGGGATATCTGAAGCCAATAAGAGGGGACCTTGTGGGTGTGTAGATTTTCGTGATGCTACCCAAGGGAAAGTATACTGTTGCTCCTGGACTAGAATGAAACTCCACATGGCCGCTTGAAAAAAGGACTGTGTCACAGTGTGTGGTCTTCATAAGGATGCTTCGCGCCTCCTTCATCACCGTGATGGCACCCTCTTTCCTTTGTGGGGCCAGTGGCTTTCAGGATCTTCTCGAGTTCAAGAATGAGAGAGGGGCTCTCAATATAGCAGCCTATAGTGACCGCAGAAGGGGGGAAATTGGCATGCTTTGGGGATCCTAGTCGAACAATTGTAAAGAAACTCGTACACAAGTGTGCGTCTGAGGGGATGGGTGTGGATTTATGATTATGATGCCGAGATTACACTTCAGAATTCAGGACCTTGAGTTTCTTGAAACCTCATGCGGCAGCGTGACTCGCGGTCAAAACCCAACTCGCAATCTAAGTCCTGGGGTATTAAAACAGTGTCGTCCCAACTTTCTCTCCCCCAAGCCTGTAAACTCTAGGGCCCTCATTGCCCTCAGCCCGACCAAAAATGAAATCATTAAGCAATGCGCACGAAAGCCCCTCAGGCCTACAACCCCATATCCCCTCCCCCATCCCAGTAGCGTAAATTAACCCTACTCTTTAAGTGAGTGATGCGTGTTTCTGTACATTGGGGTCCCCGATATGGACCCCAGACTACTATAGTCCTGATTAGAAAACCCAACAAAACGGACTTCTGATTTTTCGAAACCCCTATATACGTATATGAGTCTCCCAAACGCCCCTTCACAGGAACGATAGAGTATCCCTTCTGCCGAATGACGCTGCCAGAATCAAATCCCAAATTCCGAAGTCCAAACGCGCTGAATCCCAAAAATTTTGTAGCCACCCAAAAACCCTAAGTCCAAGCCCTAAACTTTCATCGCATCCCAAGCATCACAGCCGTGCCACCCACAATGCCCGCAGAGGCCACGCCAACGGAAGCTGAGCCCCGAAGAGTCCGCAGCCAGCCATCCTGAAATAAGCGAAGGCTAAAATAGGCGTTATAGGGTTTAGGGGCTTAGAGACGTAGGGTTTAGATGTTCAGGGTTTAGATATTTAGGGTTTAGGATCTATATGGATGTAGAAGCCTAATTTTGACAGTTGAGGTTGTGCAAGTCCTCTTCTTTTTTCAGGGTTCAGAAGGTTCAATAATCCCTCAGCACAACCCTCTGCTTGGCCAAGCGTCTGCCATCTGTGAGCGGCAAGAATTGTGATTGCCTGGGGAGAGGGGGGGGGGGGGGGGNNGTTGTGGAGATTTATGCACGGAAAATATCCTTGACAGCTTACAAGGGAATAGCGTCAGGCATCTCAGGCCTGTGTACTTGTTTGAGAGAGACTACATGAAAGTTGCTTAGACGAATACTTTGGGCTTCCCAAAGAAATCTTCCCCGGAACGATATGCAGGATTTGCAGGGGGTTCATGGAGGTTACTTTGGGTTTATGTAAGGGATCTAGTTTTTTATCTTTTGTTAAAGGTCTGGCTAGATGTGAGACCCTGACTGAGCTTCTGGGTGAGTTTCCTGGCGCCCGAAGGGCTTCCCTGTTATATTCTAGTGGGCTCTATAATGAATGTACACATACAGGGGGGCTTAAAGTTGCAGGCCTACGGATCTAGAAAAAACAGTGCCCACTCAGCTACTGAAGCCTAATCACTTAGCCAACATGGATTGGAAAGCCTGGATCGCCAAGGGCTCTTGAACTAGTAGAGTCCATAGGGGTCTCAGCAATTTATCGATGCCCTCACACCCCCCGTTCCGAGGCTAAAACCATACTTATGCTTGGTGGGAATGGGGAAATTGATCTCTGCAGTTCCGAAACCTAAGCTCCACTTATGCTTCGGTGGGAATTGGCCAATGGATCTCTACAGTAATCCTTAAATTGAACATCCATGGAAGAATCCCCACAACCCCACTCCCACCCCCAGCCCGAATTACCAAACCATAAATCCCCCAAGTCGCAAACCGCAAGCCCCCCTAAGCCCCGAAGGCCCCTGAATCCTAAACTTAATGTTGCAGCGTGTGTGCAAAGGAACATCACATTGAACTTGTACTGAGGGCCCCAGGTGAGAGCCATGTTACAATCCTCGGTGGCCCCATTTCTTGTGGGGTCTAGGGGCTCCTAGGGTTGGGGTTTAGGGTTTGGGGTTCAGGGGATTTTAGTATCCCAACCTGAGAATTGGAACTCAGTGATTTTGCGTTTTGCTGGTCCCTTAACCTTACTTATGACCTCCGGAACTGGAATTAGAATGGATATTGCAATTATACATGAGGTTATAACCCCAGCTGTAAGTATTTCGTAAGTACCAGTAACCTGTAAGTATTTGCAGGTTCGCGGTTGGGTATGGGATGTGGGGTGCGGAGGTTCATGGGACTCAGTAACTACTTACATGTGAGCTTCGAACCTTCTGTATGCGCAGCCAACTTTCATTGTTGTGAACCCCAAATATACCTAAGGTTATAGAACTCCAGTTGTAAGTATTCGCAAATTGCCATGAACCTGCAGTTACTTGGATGCTCACAGGTGGCTTTCGGGTTTGGGCCCCGAACTTGACGGGACTCAGGAACCATCTATAACTACGCTTTGAAGATTGCTTCTAGTGTGGCTAACAGGACCTATGTAGGTCACCTCAAGTGTGCGTAAGGTTAAAACCACGACTGTAGGAAGTTACTAAGCCCCATGAACCTGCAAGTACTTAGAGGGCCACGGGCAATTTAGGGGTGTCATACGGGTAAAAAAGGTTCGGGATCTAGATAGGTTGTATGGAGTGAATGGTGTGGGGACTGGACTGTTTCGGGCCTGAAGTTCTCAGGGTTTTTAAGGTCTCGAGTCTAATGGTAGGCCTTTGGTTTAGGGTTGAAGGGGTCAAGGGTATAGGGTTTAGGCTCGGGACCCTCATCTTCCGCAGCATCTCAGGGCAGTAAACAGTAAAACTGCAAGCCTAAGCCGCACACCACAAGCCCGAAAATCCGCAAGCCCTGAATGTCTAAGCCCGTACCATCTTGAGGTAAAAGCTGGTTGGGGCGTGCTTCAGAATGCAAGGTCTCTTTAGAATTTAGGGTGCAGGGTTGTTTGATTGGAACCAGTGCGGTTCCTCCAAACCCCCAGCCACGTATTCTTAACGCCAAACACATAGAAACCGTCAGCGAGAAATCCTAGACCACAAGCCCCGAAACCACCTTCTCAAGCCAGAGAAGCAGCAAACTTAGTACCCAGAACCAGTCCGAAAGGGTCTCACATTGTATCGATTAGATAGTGTTGGGCACCAATATATCCCTATGCTACAAGAACATGTTGGTGCCCAAGTCTGTACTTACTACGGCGGATAGAGAAAACCTTGCACCAACTTGTACACCCCCGCAACGGCCGCGTCTGGGGGATCTTGAGCGGTGTAAGGTTCCCTCCATCCACTGTACCTAGGACTTGAAAATAATCAATCTTAGGGTTTCGTGTTTTGGTTTGGGGCATAGCGTTTAGGCTAGTGTAAACCTGAAACCTTGAACTTCTACGAAAATCTTACTCTGGGTGATGGACCAAATCCTGCATGACCCCAACTATAGACTACGTATACTAATTACGACCCAGGGTTGAGGTTGATCGAATGATGCAGGATTGTGCGCCCAAAGCCTGATCGGCGAACTGTCTCCTGTAGAAGCCTGAAGGGCTCCCCATATGTACCTTTATCAGCCCTTAACAAACTTGTGATTGTTGCACGTATGTATATATGACATATGCACCTACATATTCCAAAACCTTATGCTGAACACTTGGGTCGCAAAAGTATTCCCCCATAGCTTTGGAGAAGCTTCCGCTGCTGTTGCCTTGCCCTCGCAAGCTCCCATAATGGTGCAAGGCTGGCCGAGTTCAACGTCCTGAACCCTAAGACCTCATGAAGGATGTTGGCAATATGGTGACTTCTAAGCAGCTGAGCAGGATCATCGGAGACTGTGGAGCCAAATGCTCACAAAGCCAAATATCAGCAGCAAGCTTGGGCAACACCACAGCCCGACAAGTTACTTTTAGGACTTCAGAGTTGATGCTTTAGGAGATCAGTCTTCAGCAGTGTTCCACTCAAGGCGTTCAGGTCAAGTTCTTTACGGAAAACAACATCGGACTCTGCCGAAAAGTGCAAGACCCTAGGAATAATCCAACTAGCCCACCAAAGTAGGTGCCATTCATAGAATTAAAGGCCCAAGGGAAGTAGAGACATAGATCCCCAGGCAACACATTGGGCAATCGGAGGTTGACTCCCAGTTACGCGCAGGACAATGTGCTGTTGTGCATCGGCTCCAGCAATCTCCAGGCCGGTAGCAAAGCGGGTTTTCCCCGCATATGCCCTGCATGGACCTTGCATACCTCCCAGTTGCCCCAGCCATACACCTTCTCCCCACCTGAACATGCCCCAGATTTGCAGAAGACATCATTCCAAAACCCTGAAGTTGTGCGTCCTACTCCTCCCAGTAAATAAGAGAGCACCTTGCGCAACCTACCGTATAGCAAATATGCAGGGTCCTTAACCATGACAATAAGGTTTGGGGCACTATCTATCATAGTTATAAGAGGACTACAAAGAAATACTAATCATAATTCTAAAGAACACTATAAACGATAAGGGCTCACATGAACCCAGTCTCCATTTCATGGTCCATCTTCTTTTCCATTTCATTCTCTATTATGGTACATATATCGGGCTCCTTCAATAATATCCCAGGCGGTGCGGGTGGGACTCACACGCATCTGGGTCCGGCACAGCATCCAGCTGCAACAGTTCGGGGGTCAGCAGCGGAGAGTTCCTTCACAAAGTGAACGGCTCAACCAAGTAAGTCTGAGGATTCTCGTATGTACGTCTAAAGGGGGCGATAAAGATATTTAGGGCCTAGGGTCCATTTTATTTGCTTTGAACCAAGTAAGATGATGCCATTCAAGCAACTGCAATGCCCAAGAGCAAGATATTTTCTTACTGTACGTTGGGCTTGGGAATTATTATATCGTATCCCAATCGAAACATACCACTCAATCTTTTTTTTGAATGCACTGTTTATATCAAAATCCCCCAACCCAAAACCTGCCGTTTTTTGATGTTCGCTTGCAAGCCTAAGTGGCAGTACTATGGCGGGCTGTGTTTGTTTTGATCATCCGGATCTGTGTTGCTGTTCAGGAGCAGAAAATATCAAATACCATGATGAGGCGACCGTGTTATTTACGATGTCTCGCAACTACTGTAAGCTAGCTTAAGTTCCTTGACAGCAACCCAGTATTGTGCCAGTGCTATGGATGGTTGTCAGTCTTGCTGCGCTAGCATTTTTCGTTGCGCGATGCGGATGCGGGAGTTGCGGTCGAAGCCTCGTTAGTGAGTTCAGGGCTTCGGGGTCTGAAATCATAAGAACGCAAGCCATCTGTCAAAACCTGCTGAAACATCTGCAACATCCTGAACAACAATCGAATGCAGTAACTGACAAACACCTAGAAGCACGCCCAACGAATCCTAAAACCTACCTGTAACCCAATGACCCAGTTTTATGGGCTATACCGTATACGTTAAGATGTAATTGCTACTGAACTGTACGTACATGTCCAATGTCCAATGCCTTCACAAACCTCTTGAGGCACCCGACACATTGAAATGAAAACTTCCTACTTCAAACACAGAAGTCACAAGCTAAAACAGTAAACAATATCACAGAACCTTCTGTTCTTTTTCAAGAACATATCTCTCAACAAACCTTTTAACCCTCCGAATTCGTTTGAATCTACACGAATCATCTGAGCACCCTGGCAGCAGCTGATCCGAGAAGTTTGCACAGCTCGGGCGTTGTCGGAGACCAGATGTGATGTCCGCAAAGACCTGGAAGTGTAAGGCTAAGAGATATACGTACGTCCAGAAGGCCCTGAAAGCTTCTCAGGCTACTGCTCTGGGGCTATGATGACCCCAATGGCGTGATCCTTGTATACCCCGCGGCTACTTGGATTCTTCGTGCGTGAAGGTTCATGGGGCTTGGTATCCACGGATAACTCAGCTTAGAATCTTACTTACGATTCCCCCAATTGAATTTATGTAGGTTACACCAAGTGTAAGGAAGGTTCTACCCCCCCCCAGTTGAAAACACATGTGGGTTGTCAAGAATACAACTTTTGTGATGTTCCATGAAACAGGTGAAGGTTTGGACGAAGCAGCTATCGGAAACATGCCTTACCCTGAGTCTCCGGTGGTAACCTTCGAATTCAACTTTGACAAATCTCGCGCTTGTTTGCAGAAGCCTGAATACACGGGCAACTGAAACAGGAAAGACACCCCTGAGGACTACTGCATGTTATCGGGCTTGGCTTCTTGACAAAAGCCGGCATTAACCGGTAGGCATGAAAATCATCAGCCATTTAATGGCTGCGTTGAGAAGATAACGGAAATTGACCTTATAAGGAACATAGGACCGGCAAAAGAAAACTACTGTACAACAGAACCCCTGGGCCCCAAACCCGAGCCCTGGACCCTGAATCCTGGGCCCTAACCAGAAACCCTAAAGCTGAACTCAAACTCACAATGAGCCTTTCGAAGCCTGTCAAACGCTGTAACGCCCTGTCAACCCTGTAAACCCCAAACTGTGAACCGGAAACCCTGAACCCAGAACAAAACCTAACCCTGAACGGAACTCCACGTAAACTCTACATGCCGAAGCCCAAATCCTGAACCTAAGCCCAAATCCACTCTAAACCCATCAAATCTTCTACACCCTCTATACACCTTGAAAAGCCCTGTAAAACCTGTCAAAACCTGTGAGCCCTAAACCTTGTCAACCCTGCGCACCCCAAACCCTCGAGCCGTAAAAGCACGAACTCTCAGCGCCACACCACGGCGCCCAAGCGCCTCGCTAGGTCCTTGCTACAGCCGCCCCTCAATGGGAGTGAGTCAGGAGAGCCCATCTAGGATAGGGTCTTGTTTTTATAGATGTTTGGGGTTCGGAGTTTATTAGGGGATAGGGGATCCAATAACCAGATTTACAGTATTTTGGAGCTATGTATAAGTCAGGTTGAGTGGTCTAGGGTTTAGAGCTTGATATGGGACTTGGGAGAAGTCTATA